AGCTCGCCGCGGCCATGACCTTCAAGCATCCCAGCCGAGAAGGTGAGGGGCGCGGGCCGCAGGGGTTCAGATGAATGCCGGAGGATTAGGAAGGGTGCAAAGGGGAGAGACAGACAGGCAGACAGGCAGACAGAGGCTGGAGTGTGTACCAGCATAGATTCTTCCTCTGGGTTACACTTGAAGCTGTAACGTCTTGGAGCAGATTAATTTCTAACAGGTGTATGCTGTGTCCCTAGAAAGGCAGGCAGAGGTTGAGAGAGGCCCCAGGACCGACCCCCAACTTGTGTGGAGAAAGAGACCCCTCTCTGGGTCTCATGTTTCTGTGCATAGAAGGGTCTAGAAGGCACCCTCCAGGATCACTTCCTGTGGCCTGTGGAGTTGCACTTTCCGTGGAGAACCCGCTGTGGCACCTGAACCCCGCAGCAGGGGCGCCTCTCACACACTGCCCATCTGTTTCTTCCACCTCCAAATCCATCCTTCCTTCCTTCCTTCCTCCCTCCCTTCCTCTTTCTTTTGTTTTTTATGCCAGGCCCTGTTCTCCCCTGCATTCATCTTCTTAAACACATCCTCTGGGAAAGGAGAGAGCATTTCAATCCTGTGTTTCTAAGTCTAGACTCTTCTGAGCTTGGGGCAGTGGCTGGGGTCCTTCTTTGTGTAGGAAGTGTGGCTGGGAGCCCTGCTGCCTCCTCCTCCCTGCATCTACTCTTGGATAAGCCACCTAACAAATCTGAGGAATTTCACTGACAGCCAACAGTGTGAGAGGCATCTTCTGACACTGACCTTTGGGTTCTGGTTTTTCCTATGGCTTGGGAAAAGCGCACCTGCCTTTGAGTCCACACTTTCCTCACTGGTGAGAGGAGTGGCTAGATTTGCCAATTTTGAACCTGCCTGCACTGAGGTTCTGAGCACCAGAAAGTTGCAAATTCAACTACCCTACAGTGGGAAGGAGTCAGCCCGGGGGCCCAGCCTCTTTCGCTGCAGAGGCTGGGAACAGCCTGGGGGGCGTTCTGGATTACCAAAAGATCTTTACTAGCTGATCGACCTCACACCGGCCAAGGCAGAAGTAGGGGCATGCAGCGGTGGGTGCACGGGGGCAGGAGGGGCTGCTTCTTTGGTGATGCCCAGGCAAAAAGCTTTATTTATAAATTTTCACAGTTTCATGGAGCCATAACAGTACGACTTATGTAGGGGGGGGGGATTAAGATGCTTTCATTAACAGTCAAGTGGAGAAACAATTTATTTTCACCGTTTCCAGAGAACAAACATTCTGGGATATCAGTTTACAAACGTTTGAGAATTAGAACTCCTTGAAGCTTTAAACTTAAGTGTAGTAGGGAAATACCATGTGTTTATTTGCAGGAAAATCCAAGTAAAGGAAATTTTAAAAGTTGAGAATCAGAGCTCCTTTGAACTTCCCCTTTCAGGACAGATAAGGGGTCTGGGAGGGGGGAGTGTTTTGCTCAGAGCTTCATCCTTGCCCTCCTTGGCCTCCACTTGTTTTCTTGACACCTGTGGTTGTTGAATTAGAAATGGAAATGGAATTTACCAAATTACACTTATTATACTAAAATTGTTTAACTAAGCAGATTCATTTGATTTAGCAAACTGTAGCCACAAACTTAAATGATTTTTCCACTGGGTTGATTCCAAAGCGAGGGAAGACTTGAAAGAAAGGACTCGCTGTCTTCAGAGCAAGAAGGTTCTTTCCTAGCAGAGCTACTGGGCCCGGGGCATGTTAGATACAATTATTAAATGTAGGTAACAGTCCAGAGGTAAACATGCAGTTCTGAGTTCTAAGCTAACTCTAGTTAGTTAGGGGGAGAGGGGGCTCATTGGTGGTTGATTTTCTTTAGAAGAGCCTTTCCTTTCAGAAATACAGAGCCACTGAATGACAATGGCATTCCTGCCCCTTTGACCATTATTTTTACTTCCTATTATGAAATACCCCACCTATTTCCAAAATCCGCAGCAATAATTAGCTACATTTGTTGTTAAATTAATAACCTAATTTCCCGATCCTGACAGTTCTTTAACGATCCAGGTAAAGGACCATCAAATAAATCAGGGCCATCGTTAAAAATGATTTCTCCAGCTGGCATACAAGCGTTTGTGTTTGGACAGGAAGATATAAATAATGAGAATTACATAGCTACTTGGGTTATGGATTTTTAATCTTCTACTCATTGGCAGAAAAACTGACTTCAAAGATCACCTCTGCTGTCCCAAGTGGTCTGTGAAAAATTACAAAGTAAAGTAATATGAATCACTGCCTTTAATTTTCTAATCTTTGCTGAAGAAATTATCTTCAGAGAAACCTATCCCATAAGACAACTTAATATCATTAATTGTGCACTTCTTAAGACTAGTTAGTAGGAGTAGCATTTATTGAATCTCTCCAGTAAGAAAATGATTTTTTTACTGAAAGCAATTTAATATTATGAATGCTCCATAAACGACAAATACTTCTGATCACCTAGCCATAAATGCACAATATACACATAACGTATATTTATGTGTATGTTTGTACACATACTTCAGTGTCTTCTAAATCAGGTTCAGATCAACATCAACTGTTATCCTAAGAGAAGCTTGCTCAAATGTCACTTTATGCGTTACAAGTGTTAACTGTATCTTGGTGAAGGATAGTGAGTCTGGGTTCCCTTTTCCCATCAGCGAAAGGAAACTTTAACTCTTGAGAAGTGAATGGGACAGTTCCACTTCATCTAAATGGAAGGTACTCATACTCCAGGAATCGGACACCTATCCAGGGCAGGGCCGTCGCCCTCGCCCGCCCCTCCCAGACAGCGGACAGACCCCACTGGACACCCCCTCCAGACAAGGGGTGCTTACAGTGTGTTTTCAGAAGCCTTCCAAAGCTCCCAGCTCTAAAATCCCTCCGAGCCGGGTCTGGGAAAGACTAAAGATTTAGAAATCAAACTGATAAGATGTTGCATACGCTCAAGGGAACATGCTTTTTATGTTTGCTAGATAACTGGCAGGTCGGTCCAGTCATCTCTGCTCCAGGTTAGTTCTTGAAGGATCCTAGAAGCCAGCTTTGCCAGGAGCTCTCGGGCACAGGCGTCGGCCTGAGAGCCTGCGGCCGCCAATCTCGGTCTCATTTGATGCAGTCCTGTGAGACCCCTTTCCAGACCCCCGCTGACACCCCTTCCCCACGCCCCACGGTCCCAGTGGCCCTGGAATCGCAGTCCCAGTATATACATGTATATTTTTAAAAGCTTGTCCTCATTTCTGCCCGTAAGATTGAATGAGGCTGTGGCAGTCCTAACCCTGGCCCAAGCCTGCAAGGCCCCCAGGAGGTCCCCACGTGCACAGACCCGGGTCCAGCAGGTGGGGAAGGAGAGGGGGGTCCTATGGGGAGGGACTGGCGGGGCAGAGCTAACAGCGCAGCAGCCGGACGGCCCCTGTAGAGTGGAGTGGAATCTGCCTCTGGCCTCCTGGGTGTTTATGTTTCACAAAATTCATTTTCTCGCTTGTTTCTCAGGCAACTGGCCTTTGGTTGAGAAAGCTCCTCCCCAGCTCTTTTCTAAGCAGGCCCTCACCTCCAAGTGCGTGGACAGGGTGGAATGAAAAGGTCTGAAAACTTCATTGACTGAGCGGCCACAACTGTGTTTAGGAAAGAGAGCCGGGCGAGCGAGGGGGCTGTCCTGGAAAGGTCTTCAGCCCCTTCGCCATCTCTGGGAAACCAGATGTGCGCGCGCGTCCCTGGCGCAGAGGTGTCGCCCCGCTCGGCCGTGCGCTCGAGGCCCGGGCCAGGGCAGCTGCGGGAGGAAACCACGGGGAGCTGCCTCTCGCCCCACACTGAGGCGCTCCGAGCGCCCCCCTTTAGAGGAGGCGTTGGGAAGAAAAGAAAGTTGAAAATAGGCGCTTTTCGATATAAACAAGCTTGTACCGCCTGGTGCAGAAGCCGAAGCGGCTGAGCACTGGGAAAGGAAACACAGTTTGCCCAATCGTGGCGTCACTTTTCTGGCTTCCAGTAGCAAAACTTGGGCCCTTCCCAAACCTTATAGAGCAACGCACAGAATGCCGCCTGATCTGGCAAGACCACTGGCACTAAATCGGGAGGCCCACCGCCCCAGGACGTGCTGTGCCCACAGCGGTGAGAGCATTTGGATCCCCGGGCCGCGGGGGCAGAAGGGGGTCCGCCGCCCACTTAATGGGCATCTGCCGCTCCCCTCACCCCGTCCCTAGCCCTCCCCGAAGGGCGTTTTGGTGACCCATTTCCCCAGGCCCTTCGCAAGCCCTTCACTGCTTTGGGAACGGCGATCTGAGCGGCTGGCAGCCCCTCGGGCCGGTGCGCTGGCTGGGGTCTGGGGTGAGTCGGGGTTTGGGAGACGGGGTGCGCGGATTTCGGCATCCAGCTCCCTCCCGGAGATGTCTGGGATCTGAGCATCACCCGGCCCAGGGTCGCCCGGCTCTGCAGCGCCTCCCTGCGCCTGGCGCCTCCTTTACTGGACGGCGAGGGGCTAAGAGCATTGCGGGGGTGGGGTGGGGGCGGGGGTCTGCGGTGCGGAGAGTCTGCGGGACGGCCCTGCAAGGAGGGCCGCGGCCGAGGCTGGGCGGGTGAGTGGCGCCCGCAGGCCGGGGGAGGGTGGGCGCCCACGGGCGCGCGGGGCGCTGGGGAACGCGGCTCCTCCTTCCCGCCCCGAGTGTGGGAGCAGCCCGCGCTCTCGGGGCCCCGGGCCTGCCACTCGGCGCCGCGCCCGGCAGTGACCCGCTGCCCTGTGCTTCCTCCCGCAGTGGCCGACCGGAAGCCGCCCAGCCCCGGCAGCAAGGCCCCCGACGGCCTCGGGAGCTTACACGGACTGCCCATCCCGGCCTCGACCTCCTAGGGCCGCGCGTCGCTGAGCCCGAGCCCGAGGGCGGCGGCGGGGCGGCGGGCGCGGCGGGGCGCAGACCCGGAGGACCCGCCGCCGAGGTGCCCGAGCCGTCAGCCCGGCCTCGCCCAGCCCGGCTCCCAGCCGCTGCGCATCCTCTGTCGGCCGGGGTTTCGGCTTCTCTGAACTTTGGCTTCAGACTGTTGCATCCTCGTCGCGACCTTTGCTCCGACGCGGCCTCGCCCTGCAGGCCGCCAGCATCTCTTCCTTCTCCCTGGGCAGTTTCGCACCGCCCCTCCCTCGGTTTCCCTTCCCCTCTCTCCCTCTTTCCCGCTCCCCCTCCGCTTCCTTTCTTCCTCCCCGCCCGCCCTCCTTCCTACCCATCCTTTCCTTCCCCACCTTCGCCCTCTGCATTTTCCCCTCCTCTGTCTCCGCTCCTTCCCTCCCTCCGTCTCCCCATCTACGTGGGCTCCCGCTCCTGTGGTCCAGCTCCGTCCACTCCCTTGTCTCCCTAGGCCTTTACAGTCAGGATTCTGCCTGTCTTCTTTCCTTCTGGCACCTGTCCCCACCCCCTTCCGGAGAGCCCCAGACCCATCCTGCCCTCCTCTCTGCAGCCTCCACCCTTCTGGGCTCCCCAGGCTAACAGCGGGGGCTCCAACCTGGGGCATGGACAGTGAAGCCACAGCTTTCCCCCATATTTTTATAATAATGAACCTGAACAAAACCTGGATGAACTGCCCCCCTCCCCAGATGATGTCTGGAAATACCCTCGTCTGGATGGTTTCTCAGTGCCCAGTGGTTGGGTTTCTCTTTGCTTCCCCTGAGATGATGTTAGACTGGGGCAGGAGTCGGGGGCACGGGGGCCACTGGTATTTTCTGTAGTTAGAAAGTCATGCGTGCCTGGAGGTGCCCCATCTCACCCTCCACACCCAACAGGAGGGAATCCGGCATATGGTAGACGCATCAGCACTGGTTTTGGTATTCAGGGGTCAGCACATTTGTTAATTTAAACCACAAACTGCTTCTGGGTACAAAGGTGCAATCTGGCTTCTGGTTTGCAAGGGGATAGGGGTCGGAAAAAACCCAAAAAGTGTCTTCCAGAGCGGGCACAGGCTCTGTTACCTGCTTCCAAGTTCAGGCGCGCTGGTGGCAGGACCCTGGACATAAAACTGCAATTTCTGTAGTCATAGAAATGTCACTGGTGAGAGCCTTACATCACCTGTTAAACATGGCTGCCTTTGAATAAAGGAGAGCATCGAAAGTGCGCTTCGTGAGGGTGGGCCAGTCTGTCTAGCCTGGACTGCTGTGTCGGTGTCTCCCACCCCCTGGAGCCCCGCATTTCCAGCAGGAACACTGGTTAGAGGGGTTGTTTTTACTGGTTTACTCATTAGCACTGGCAGCACCGGCTGGGCAGGAGGTGGTGGAGGCCGTGAGATGGGAGGGCCACTTTCAGGGACCCGCCCCTGGAAACTCCAGGTCAGCCCTGGGGAACTGAGACAAGGAGACAACGCGGAAACCATCCCAAAGTGAAGTCATTTCTTAGAGGGAAAAAATGGGCAGGGGGCAGCGAGGAGCAGTGGAGGACGTTCTCAGAACCTTTTTAACAATCTGAAAGCTAAAGAAAATGATCACAGGCTACAGGGCGGCCCAGGGGTTCCTCACTGCAAAGGCGTCTCTGGCTAATGGGTTTTGTTTTTCCGCCCTGTGTTTGGCTTTCTGAACCTGACAGAAGAGAGTTCTGAATGGATGGTTTTGCTTGTGAGCGGGGCTGCCTGCTCGGACGCGTGCAAGACACCTGTGGCGAAATTGTTTGCATTACTTCTCACGGCAGTAGTTTCTGCTGAAGGTAGTCAACAAAACTAAAAAAGAATGTCTACTTTTCTCATACAGCAACTTTTCTCCCCGAGTCTTCAAAGTCTCTTGCCTATAAAAAAAAATTCTATTTTATAGACAGGAAAATCAAGGCCTAGAGCTTTGGTTTATTTCTCTGGACCACATACAGCAAGCTGTGGATCACAGGGCTTGGACATGGAATCTGTGTGACACCATCTTAGCAGAGAGCAGGACCGGGGCTTGGACTTCGAGCCTGGGGCCCTCAGCCTGTGGCACTGGCCTTTCCTGCAGGGAGGCTGCTCAGAAGAATATTAGCACTGAAGTGTGAAAAAGAAGCATGTTCTCAAGTCCTCGTCCTCTCAGCCTGTCTTAGCTGAGTTCATCTACACCACGGGATTCTCACGCATCCATCTTCGGTGCCCAGAGGACTGGCTGGCTTGGACCAGGAAGAAGGCGCCTTGCCTTTGCAGAAGAAGTGAGAAGACTGTCTCTGGTTGCTGCTATCCTTTTTCCTCTGCCGCTCGCTCCCCACCCTGCCTCTGGGCTGGCCAGGATTGGGGTGAGAAGCGCTGGAAAGTGCAGCCCAGGAAGGATGCAGGTGCCTAGGCTGTAAATTCCCCTGCAAAGGGAGGGAGGCGCTTTCCAGAGCTGTCCTCTGCGGTTCACCACACAGTGCGGCTGGAGGAGGGTCTTCCAGGGTTCACTGGGCCCCAGAGGAGCATTCACGGGGCCAGCTTGCTTTGCCACGCCCTGGGGGATGTGCAGGGCTCTCCTTCCTCCCTTGAGGCTGCGGGCCCTGGAATGTCTCAGCAAGCGCAGGGGGAGCCCTGGCTCCCCTGGGTGAGGCAGAGGCCTGTGACCTTGCCGAGCCTTGGTGTCCTGTCTGTGAAACAGCCCCTCCTGTGCGTGGCCCTGTGGTGGCTGGCTGGCTGGAGGTGCTGCACATCTCCGGAGATGATGATTTTTTTGCCATTAACCAGGGACAGGGGAGCCATTTTTAGGGTTGATGGAAGGACCCAGAATTGAAACACTTTTCAAAAGATCCCATTAAATATTGCATCGTTGATCTCCATGCATAGGGCTTGGTGTGTGTGCCAGGGACTCACCATGTTGGGTGGAATAATTTAAGTCATTTCCCAGAGACAGTTTGCACTAGCTCCTGCCTTATTATTTTTTAATTTAAAAATAAGGTTTTTTTTAAATATAGAGAAGTCCCCACAATAAAATAAACAGAAACTGACACAGAGTCACTCAAATAACACTTTGATTTGTTGACAGAATTAAAGATATATATACACACACACACACACATATATATATATATATGCACATATATACACATCACTTAAAATTCTAGCAGCACAGAAACATTGAAATGCAAAGTGAAAGTTCCTTCCCATCCTCATCTCTGAACTTACAGGTGAACATTGGTCCAGTCTTTTAGGAAATTCCAGGAAAAAAGAATTGCGGACAGTGGAACTCTGGAGTCTGTGCTGTCTAAGGGCGTGCTCCAGAGTCTTGCTGGGTTCGCACAGGCGGGGTCTGCGATCCGAGGTTTGCATCCACTGTATTCACTTTATCCTCTCGAAGGGATACATAGCAACAAGGGTTTACTAGAAACAGAGTATTTGTAAAGAGGGCTGGCTTCGTGCTTTCAGTGGATACAGACAGGGTTTTGTTGCATCGTTGTCGGAGGAAGCACGTAGAGTGGGTTGTAAGAACTTCCCCGGGAAGGGTGGCTCTTCCTGGCAAGGAGGAAGCAGAGCCAACCACAGGGCAGGAGACAGAGGCACGAGGGACCCAGAGCATCGTCCTTCCCGAAGGTGTCCTGGCTTGTCCTACAGAGCACGAAGGAGGATGCTCAAAGCTGTGAGGGCTGAGGAACGTGGTTTTCCTTTCCTCTGAAGGGAGTCCCTCTCTCTAGGTCAGGAAAGAGAGATAGAGGCAAAGGGTGGGGAAGACCCCTGTCTGAAGAAATACTGGCTGGGAATAAAATGTAAGCATTCAACCCTGGCGCAAGCATGCTTTTCACTTTTCCCAGATTCGCTTGAAACCCATGTGGCATCAATCCCCTGGCAGGTGGATCCCGCTTACTGACAACTGTGTTTCCCTGTTTGCTTGTTTCTTGACTCCTGTTCAGGATGATCGGGTTTATTTAATGGAGCGGGGCTCTGGGTTAGAGCCACTGTCGATTTCCCGGCATCAGTTTCTCTAGCTAGATTTACACTGGTCAGGGCTTCTTTTCAAAAGAAACTACCTGCTCCATGTGATGCTGGAAAACATGAATTTAGAACCTTGCCAAAATGTGCCCGAGGAACTCAGCTGGAAGGACCATGTGTCCGGACAGCCTGCGTAATAAGAACCATTTGACTGTCTCCTTTCCATGGGCGGGAGTTATGCACAAAATGCGATTTGGTCTTCACCTTGACCTTGCTGCTTGAACCGCAGCCTCACTCTCTGTGGCTGAGATATTTCTAGCCAAACTGTTGGATCTCAACTTTTAAAAAAATTCTTCTGTTTTGGGATTTTTTTTTAAAGGACCAAGCAACGAGGATTCACACTGTCTGCTTTTTCAAGGCAATAAAATGAAAACCACACATTTAGTAACAATCCAGCTTGGGAATTCTAAACACTTGGAACAATTATACTCAATTTAGTCTAGTCTCTTCTTTGGAGTTGAAACCAGTCAAAACCTCGGCTTCACTCAGAAGAGCTCCCCTCCAGGAGAGCAGCCTGTGATCCCCGCTGGAACACACATCTGCTTCTGGGCTGGCCAAATCCAAACGTGGAGCCCCAGTTATAGTTTTCATGGGTGATGGAATTTCAGCTGCATTACAATTTAACCACCTGCATTGCCTTTATTCTTTCTCTTCTTGAGAATGAAATGAGCTGATCAAGTGTTCCTCCAGCTATTAAATGACATTTCCATCCTGTAACATTTGATTTCCTTTTTCTCTAGTGAGATACATTGACAGGATGGATTATCCCCAGTGGCTTATATTGGCCACACCATTTTCACTGTGGGGGGTTCTCTCAGTCCCTGGGGGATGGGGTTTTAGCTTTATAAGATTTGATTGTACCCAAAACAAGAAATAATAGAACAAGAACTCTTTAACTAGATGGCTTTAATTTCACAACCAACCTCATGGATGAAAAATAGGAAGGAAATCTGAATGAACTGAAGGAAATTGATTTTTTAAAAAGAGAACCGAAAGCTTGTGAAACACACAAAAAAACAAACAGCTCCTTTGGCAGACAAGTTGTAACGCCGTTTGCCTGATCTAAGAAGCCACGGTATCATTCTGGCCACCAGGGGGAGCACACATTGTTCCACGAAGATAAAGACGGATACAAAGATAACACGAAATGTACGAAAAAGCCATCATTCTCTTGAAGTTACCTTGAACCTGCCCAGTTGTGAGCAACACCTGTTTACAGCAGCTGTGCTTTTCCTGTCGATGTTCTCATTATTCCTGTCATTTATAACCAGATGCTTTGATTCTGGAACAAACAGGACAGGGTGGGCACAGAGTAAAAAACAGATTTTCTAGGCTCATCCACCTGGGACTTATCAGATAAATGAGATGAGAACCAGGAGCACCTAAAAATAAGTTTCACTTCTAAACTGGACTGCAATAGATACATAGGTCCAATTCTTTGAATCTAGAACAAATATGAATTTTTTAAAAGCAACTTAGTCAAAACTGACATCTTCAGAAAATAAATTTCATCTATATTCGTGCAGTTTTGCTATTTTTGATTAATTTTGGTTTGAATCGTCCAACTTTAAGCAGCACATCCACTTTTACTGATCTTTTTGAAGTTCTTAATTATTTAAAATCATAATTCACGTTTAAGGGAAGGGCTGGTCTTTTACGGAGAGGTAGAAGAAGACCGTTCCTTCACTTTGCTGTTTACTTTAGGATAAAGTCCAGAAAGACGGGTTACAGGTGGGGTACAGAGGATTTCTTCCTTAGCTTTAGAAAGGGGAGGAGCGTCTCTGACAGCCTTTAACCTGGGCGTGCACCCAGGCTGCCAGCTGCGGACACCCTCGGCGGGATGTGATCTGGGAAGAGACGGGCTGCGTGGTTGGCACACTTGGCTGGGTTCAGAAACCGGTTTTACCACCTGGGAGCTGTGCACTTTGTGAGGATTCAGTTAGAAAATAAAGAGTGGAAACTCGGTTTGGGTCACGGTCGGTTGTTCTTAGTGCCATTATTAGCGTTTCCTTCCTGTTGGTACGCTCCCCACCGCCAGTTTAGGGTGAATTCAATCGTGTCACAGCCCTGCAGACCCTATTTGCTGCTTGTCGGCTTTGTGGAAGATACAGGGACCCTCAAGACAACTAATGGCTAGTCTCTGGGTTTCCTGGGACTTCCTACAGCATCCGAGGGCACCGCTGCCGTCAGGAA